CTTCTTCGATAAGAAGAGGTCCTAACATGTCAGGAGCTTGGGATGGTTCAAACTGCATCATGCTGTGGTATGGGGCGCCCTCTGCATGGGGTTAGACATGTCCAAACCATTGGGGATCAGCTTGAATTACCTTCGAGACCGCGATGCGGTGCTTTCCATGGTACAAGTTTGTAAACATGATCTGATGTTTGCGATGGTTGTTCGAGGATTTCAAAGTTTCCATTGGCTCGTAGAACGAGGAGCCGTGGACGAAGGACGGGCGAGCTCAATGTTACCCAGTCAAAAGCAACAATTCGATCATTCTTCCTTGATGTTTCGACATATGAAACGTCCATCTCATAAGACTTTTGGACTTGGAGAAGTTCCGGGTTGCTAGACCCAGAAGATGGAGCCTCTTTATTGGTGTTTAAGACCTTGAGTTGTCCTGTACGAGATAGCACAGCAAGCAAACCACGGTGATCACGACAATATCGAAGTGATCGAACAAGGGAATACTTTCCCTCGGCCAAGAAAGGGTCAGAATCGGTCTCTATGACTCGGTCAAGGCGCAATGCTCCACCCCACGGGAGTTCATCCTCCTCAATTGCTTGCATGTATGCATGGGAAGCCACAGGTCGAGATGTCGCTCGACGATCCCAGATCATTACTCCAGGGTGGTCCAGGGCAGACGAAGCAAAGTAGTTCTGATCAGCATAGTCGATTGTAAGATTGTTGTTGCACTTTGTTTGAAATGTGACAATGCTTGAAGGGTCTGATGAGAAGAAATATGTGTCAGTTTGCGCAAGAAATCCTTTTCATCTCCGAAACCTACCTCGAAGGTCATGTATTCGAAGACCCTGAGCCTTAATGCCCACAACAAGAGTTTGAGGGCTGTCTTCGAAGAATTTGATGCTTGACACAGAGACACTAGGTTCAAGACGGGTTTTTGGTTCAGCAATATTTGTTGCATCCGAGGGAAACCCTGTTGTGTTCTTGTCTATTGAAGACAGTCGACTGACATCCCAGATATGGAGACATTGATCCATTCGCACTCTGTCCAGGCCAACTGCTAACAATCCGGTTGTGTTGAAAGCGACAGCTTGACAAGTACGAGACATCTTGAGGCCCAGCTCCACGTACGCATTAGATCCATCGTCGATCCTGAGCAAATTCACGATGCCACTACCGGTACCAACGGCAAGAAGACCGGGATTGGTTGGCGACCAATCGTAGGTTGTGAGGGGAGGAAAGTCATCGTGGCGGGCGAGTTTCTGATAGTCGAACTTCCCAGCTCTTGCGTGACCAGTTGGTTCGTAGACCTGAACAACGCGGTGCTGAAGGTTGATATGAATGAAGTTATCATATGAAGGGTTGGACGACCATTTGACGAGCCCAGGTTCAGGGCGATCCATGATGAAGGAGAATTAGCCCAGTGGCGGGCTTTTTACATAGGCATCAATCCGTGGTTCGGTCTCCTGGTGATTGATTTTATCTTGAATGAATCTCCAAGAAAAGAGGTAGGCGGTGACTCTAGCTCAGAGATGATTTCTGGCGATGGATGAGTCGAAAGACAAAGTTCCGTGCCAGACTCTTGGCAACGGCTTGATAATAAATTTTGCAAAGAACTTTGTTGATATCAGAGCTTTCCCTTTAGATATTTAGATGCTATAGACATCAAAGGAAAACGTTCTTGATATGTAAAGAAGATGGTGATTGGTATTGGATTCGATGGCGTCGAGCTTAGAAGATGAGCCTCTCTCTGCCAGGCAGGCGCCTCTCAGGAACACAGAGCACCTTCCCTCCCCCACAAGCCCGAGCGTCCGACGCTACCCCGAATTAAGACGTGCCTGATAAGATACAGCCGCAAGTCCCCGCTTAGGAAAAGTAAGGTAGGAGTAAAAAAAAGTTGACCATCTTGAATGGACTTCTTTAGTGCCTATGATTCAACCTTTGCCTGGAATATCTTTTGAACATTCTCTTCGCAATCCCACCTCCTTTTCGCTTCATAATCCTCGTACGAGCTCTATATAGTCGCCATGGGGCAAAAGAGAGAATACTCGGAGATTGGGTCTCCTGAGCCTCACAACCGTCCAGCATTCAATGTTGCGAAGAAGCACAAGTCGAGCAAGTCAAAGCATCGTCCGAACGAGGGAACTTCAACATGGGCCAAAAAGCGAACGCGCACTATCGAGCGACTTCTGAACCGGAACCAAGAACTTCCTGCCAACGTGCGCAATGATCTCGAGCGAGAGCTGGGCGCTCTCAGGGCGACAGTCTCGGACAAGAGCTTCCAGAAGCTACGAAGTGCTATGATATCGAAATATCACATGGTCCGGTTCTTTGGTAAGACCTTCTCTTGGCGTCATTTTCCGCTCGTAAAGAATGCTAACAAGGCGCGACTCAGAACGAAAGAAAGCATCGCGATTAGCAAAACAGCTGCGCAAAAAGATTGAAGAGACCGAATCTACAGAAACGGGCGAGATCGAGGCATTGGAGCGTGACTTGCATGTTGCCGAAGTAGATGAGGCGTACACACAACACTTTCCCCATGCTGAGCCCTACATCAGCCTGTACACCAGCGCCAAGTCAGAGAAGGAAGATGAGGATAGAGATGACGACAAGCTTGACTACACACCACTCAAGCATAGGGGTCTACTACATACAGAGCGACCCCCAATTTGGTCGGAAATTGAACAGGCGATGAAGGATGGCCCCCACGCGTTGCGAAATTTAAGAGAGAGACGGCCAACTGAGCTCACACAAGAAGCACAGTCAGAGCGCCGCCAGAAAAAGCCCCATGCAACGATCACAGATGGTGCTCCCAAGGCGCAGCCAAAACCACAGGCCGCGAAGGAAAAACCTGCACCTTTCATCAAGGTCAAGGGGAAAGCTGCTTCTGCTCCAAAGAACCGCAGAGAACGCAGATTACAAGAGCGTCAGGCTGCACAGCCAGTCGTCAAGAGTGACGACGATGATAGCGACGAGGGTGGTTTCTTTGAAGAGGATTAAGTACGCCATGGGGAGGAGGTTAGAAGGGTGTTGGTTGGAGAGAGTTTTTACATATTGCATCAGGTGTTGGTAGATACCCTGCGACGCTGATGGGTCGACCATCGTTGGACCTATCTATAGCATAACCGACACAATCAATCAAGCATTGTCAAGTTCGGGTTTACAGAGCCTGGTTCTGTCTCAGGTCAGGTCAGGTCCTCCCTCTGTGTGTTTCGATCGACGCACCTCCACTGTAGTTGGCCAGAAAAATAGACCCCTCACAGCCACTTGTCACCACGTTCACCACCTCACCAACTCCATGATCACATTGTGAGCGTATCCCTCTTGAAATGATGCGGATTGAATGCGCATTTGACATGCATAGCAGCCCAATCAATTCGGAAATAGCAGTTAAAGCCGGCCAATCTAAGCTGTACTGCCAATGAGGCCTGGTTGTCTTGTTGGGAGCCTACTGTATGTACTTCGCTTTTGCGATATTCCAAAAGGCATCCATTCTTCACTACCTCAAGGCTTCGCCAGGTCATGAATCACAGCTATAAATTGCAGGCCCAGCTCTCCACCTTTCTTCCTTTGCTTCATGTAATTCGATCTCCTCACCTCCCCCCATCTTCTCATTTCATCCCACTCCGCCTAACTACACCTTCAACACCCAAACACTGCATCGAACAAAAACACCCCCAAAGCACAATGGCGTTTCACGGCCCTTTAACTGTCAGTGGTGGTATCCCTTGGGATGAGCTCATAAAGTTCGCTGAGGAGAAAAAGGCCGAAGAAGCAAAGACGGGCCATCCTGCGCAGCTTAACAAGCAGCAGATCGCCGCCATCTCACAACTCATCGAGCTTGTTCATGAGATTGAAGTGGAAGACTTCTGGGTCGCCGACTTGAATCGTGAGTTTCCCCGTCAAACGTGAACGTCATCTTTCATATCAAGCTCCTAACCATGATCATTTGCCAGAGTACTGTCAGCAGAACAAAATCCCAACTCCTCAGTTCACTCAAGAGACCTTCAGTCAGCAAGTCTACGGGATGCCTTTTCCTCGATCTCGTGTCTTCTGCAATCTTCCTTCTGAAAACACCAAGTTTCCCCAGGAAGGCCGTGGCTACGAGACTGGTCAACAGGTTCCGACTTTCAAAAGGGTTCAAAAAGCTAAAAACTTTGCTGCCATGCATGCACTCAGATACCTCCGCATGGAAGACCCGGCACCTCGAGGCAGCAAGAGAGCCCCTCCAAGTTCACAAGAGTCTCCTGCGCATGCTAGGATCAAGACAGAGGAAGACAACTCGGATGGCGGTGTCTTCATGGCTACACCTCTTCGTTCAGGCGATCACAGCGTCCCAACTAGTACCCTTCTGGCTTCTGCCACCACCCAGGGCCCTACCGTTCGTGAGCGTGTCGCTGGTCTCGGCGAGCGCATGGGCTTCGGTATTCCCCAGTACTATATAGAGCAAGACAACGAGAAAGAAGATACTTGGAAAGGGCGTCCTATCTTCAGGCATGATGGGCGGATTCCGGAGGACATGGGTGTTGTAGAAGGGATCGTGGGAAGACAGAAAGCCGAGATCTTGGTCGCGGAGAAGGTGCTTGAGTGGCTGGAGAAGGAAGAGAAGAACAGAGGCGACCAATATTCGAGCCTCATGGATCCGACCTCCTGAGTGGTGCTTTATGCCTCACTTTCACGATCTCGCCACTTAGGCTCGGGGTTCAAAGAGACTTGAAACCCGCAATGGATATGAATTCAAAAAGCCAAGTTTATTAGGCTTGCTGCACCGAGGCTGGTCTAACTCTAATATTGATAGCCGATTTGTTATGGGTTGTTTTGCTCCTAGGTTGGCGATAGTGTGAATCGAGTTGACTAAAATGAAGATTCGACCAGGTGATTGTCGTTGAGTAATTGTAATAATTCTGTCTCCAGTGACGGTTACGTGCATCAAGATAGTCCTAGTATGCCGCCTCATCAAATTGTCTCTATAAACCAGACGCTTTTGGGATGATTTCTGATATCTACGAACCTCAGCGTCTACCACCCCTTCCTCCTCTTCCTCCACCCTGTCGAGGCCCCTTTCCAAGCGGAGGACTTATCTTCAAGCCAGCTGGTAGATCAGAAATCCACTGACCGTCTTGCCACAATACCCCAACATCGACCTTGCGGCCCGTCACCAACTTGAAATACTTGGTGCTCAAAACCCCCTGCTCGTCGCCCTCCGTCAACAACACTCCATTGTCACTCAGCCACCACTTCACGCCATCGTTCAAGCTTGCTTCAACGTCTATCTCGATAATCAGCTCTGCATCCTTACGCATCCCGCTAACGACGCCTTCCTCGGGTGTTCCAGTTGAACAGTGGACATGATTACGACTCATGGGCTTGAGGCCGCCGGACTCGACGATTCGTGGCCAAAAGTAAAAGAAGGATCCGTGAAGGACACGCTCAGGGACGTTACCGTCCTCTAGTGTGATGGGCGCCAGAAGAGCTGCTGACTCAAGCTTAATGGAGTGACCTTGGTTGGCACGGATGAGATAATCGGCTGGTGTGGTAGATTTGGTATCTAGGGAAGGGTTCTTGACCGGGTTGGGCTTGAGTGTAAACCGTTGCTTATCGTTGGAAGTGACAATGGACTGGATGTCGTCGAACGTGACCTTTAAAGATCGCAAAGGGCCCCAGGCGAGCTGCATGAGAGAATTAGCAAGTGTTGTTCGAAGGATGAATATTCGAGGCGGATTTAGGTCCCCCTTACCACAGCATCCAAGGGCGCGTAACCTTCATCGTCAAGTTGAATGCCAGCATTAGCTGCTTGATGTCTCAAGAGCTTGGACAAGGCCTTCGACACCTGCACCTCTCTTCCATGGCCGCCGCCACCTTTCCCTCGTCCCCTATCTCCTCTTGATCTTGGGTGCCCGATCTGCATCTTGTCCTCAACATCGAAATGAGTCTGGTCAGCCATGATGCCGTGTTTGCGTTGTGAAAATAAGGTGTGATGAGGTGGTTGATGTGCAGTGAAACAGTTCTGAGGTAGAAAGCGTGGCTTGGTGGAAGTCGAAAAGATGAGAGGGAAAATGCTCCTTTTTAATATTTTAGGTGTTGTGATAGAAGACATGAGTCGAAGTCCCATTCACTCACTCAAAAGATATGAATTCTTGAGAGAATCCAGTGGGGCCGATCTTATAGACGGCATGCCTCACCTGCATCTCCCGTTTCGGCCTGACTCAGCCTCTATGTTAAGGTACCTAGTTACCTACCAACTTAGTAGGTAGGGGGATGCTAAGTCTGCCTCGACTTCATCCGTGTCCATGTGCCAAGCAGACCAGTCGCAGCGAGAAATAACATACAAATTGAGTCTTTTAACAGACTCAGATCCATCAGGCACTCTAGCACAAAGTTGTTGCTTAAACTTTGGAGCTGCCACCAAATAAATGGCATGCGTCCGTTTGTTTCACCTCACAAACCCCTTACAACGACATCACCAAGGTCAAAGTCAAAGAGAGGGTAGCAAAGAGCCGTCATACGCGACAAAGCCACATCATACATTAAAATAAATCGGTATCCACATGCTTATATCCTGATGTCTTTTTGACTGCCAGCCCGATACAAAACAGATATAAAGCCCAGGCTGTCTTGTTTCTTGCGTGGTCGCTCCTCGTGCGCCGTTTTCAGAAAGCAAACCTCCTCCCAGACACCATAACACTGTCCTCCTTGCAAAGATGCTGTCCTCTCAAGCAAAATGAGCTTGTCTACGGACAGTGTATGTACGTCAAACAAGAACGATAATGTAATTTGTCATCCCCAACAATCACCATGAATCATTCGGCCGAGCCGGATAAGAATCAATGGAGGGAACAGGGAAAACAAGCTGTTTCCCGTGCAAACATAAAAGTATATAAATAGCAACGTCCGGCGCTCGAAACGTAATGTATAGGTAGTTGTACAGTCGTTAAATCAATCAAAGTCATTGGTCATTGGCATCATCTGTAGCTGCCAGCAGCTGCAGAAGGATTGGCGGACGCAATGCTGTCCCGTTTGGGTCTTCTGATCATACTGCTGGTCCGATTGACCATGGTTGTTTGCCCAAGAGAGGTGTAGCGTTGTGCACGCTCTTCAGCAAGTTTGTCGACAGCCCCATGACCGTGTTCTTGCTGTGCCGGTCTCTCCATGTATCTTCGAGGCGGTGTTGCTGTGTTAACTGATGGCGTCGCCAGTCTAGACACACCGAGATTCGACGAAACAAAACGCCGGCGCGGGATGGCAGATGTGGTATCAGCTGATGGTGAGTATTGCTGCTGCTGCTGCTGCTGTGGCGTTTGATCCTGCGTCACAACTCGAATCGTACTGCCAAGCTCAGTAGGTGCTCGAGAAGGCGCTCGAAACCGTGATTCTTCCTCGCCTTCTTCACCAACCGTGTTTCTACGGTTGCGGACGAATAAAGATGTTCTACGGCCTTCATCAGGCTCCTCAGTACCAGCTCTTCTGGTTCTTAGAAGAAGCGATGACTTCCTGCCTTCATCAGGTTCTTCGGTACCAGCACGGCGAGATCGGGAAACCAGAAGGGAAGAACGCCGATTCGAGATCGGCTCGATCGGTGTCGATGGTATCGAGTTGGACACACGTGATGTAGTGGGTAGAGAACTACCGTTAAGAATGTTGAGTCTTCTCTCTTCAAATTTGGACAGAGTCCTGGGACTGGTAAGATGTTCCTTGGCGGCACCCTGATCGTTTCTCCCAATACTCTGTCGCCGTTGAGAAAAGCCACTAAAGGTTTTACCGATCGTCGGGGTAGTTGGCGCGTCATTCTGAGCAGGTGGTGGGACTTCGATTGACTGCCGCGGTATACGTATCTGGGTAGCGTCCTCACCCAATGCGAGGCAAAGCTCCGTTAAGCTGCGACACACACTCTCGGCCTTTCGTCTCAGTTGGCGATCAGTAACAGTTGCGTTAGAGCCTATCGTGCTGGCGCCGCTCGAAATGGGCCCAGGAAGGCCGGGCGTTCCCATCATGGAAGCGAGTGCCATGGCATCGTTAGCAGCAGACTCTAGGGCCTGGTAAACTTCCGTGTCGAGTAGAGCCTTGGACTTAGCAAGGGCGGATTGAAGGATGGAATGTGACTCTCGGTGGTGGGAGGACGTGGTGCTAACGGCGTCGGCATTCGTGTTCTGATGGCCATTCTCAACTCGCTTGGGAGAAGAAGACATAGTTGTAGCTGTAGTAGTCGCCGTCGGCGGTCGGTCGTCTGATAATCTCGATACTGCGGCGCCGGAAGTCGAAGGCAGCTTACCAGTCAGTTCCAGTCGATGTATTCTTGATTTGAGGTCGTCTAGTTCGTCCCATACCGTAGAGGGGGCTGTATTCGACAACGTCGATTCCGTTCCCTCATGCCCGTTGCCAGCCTCCTGATTTGCTTGACGTTGGAAATCGAATGACCGGACCAGAGGGGAGGAATTATACGTCTTGTTGTGACCATGACCCATGAATTTGTACGCAGAGCCTCGGTTTTGCCCACTTACATTGTTGTCTGTGACAGAGGATCTTCGACGAGAATACATGGAGTTTTCGGAACTAGGTTCCTGAAAAACTATCGATCGAGGTGTGACAGGGGACGGGCGGATGGTTGAGGTCGAGCCTCGCAGACGTCCTGTATCTTCTCCAGGATGCGCAGATGCTGCTTTTTCTCGTGGCAGTGTGCGATAAGTTGACATGCGAGAAATTTCAGTGGCCCGGTCGTCTTCGTAGCCTCTTGATCGTGACCGCGCAGTGTCTTGTTGATCAGAAAGCCGGCGCCGAACCCTGGGAGGCGAAGTAGGCTGATGTATAGGGACTACGGAGGATAACGGTCTTCGATGCGTAAATCGCGTTGATCGTGACTAGGTATGCAAGTTAGCCTCAGAGCTAGGACAGGGTCGAAGTCGAGTTATATCTCCAGAAGCAAGCAATTGAGTACGTGGTGGGTACACAAACAGGTCCGCGCAGCCCGAGTGACCATGCGCCATACACGGCGCATAGCCGGCATCATAAAAAATGGCGAGGGAGACAGTAAGATGCGATAGAAGGAGTGAACTTACCACTACGCTGCGGGTATCTTCTTGGGATTGCTCGTCTGTTTGACGCTGGGAAGTTTCTTCCCTGGCAATCTTAAGGAAAACGTCGCCAGTATCTTCATTGTCGAAGGCGCCACGGCGGCTTGAGGCTAAAGGAGCTGACCGAAGTGCATCATCATTACCCCTGCCCTCCAAGGCGCGCAGGGTACGGTCATGGTTAGTGTCTTCGACTTCGTCGCCAGAGTCGTGGAAGCGCGGCCTCGAATTCATATCGAGAGTGAGGCTCTTGCGGGAGCCTGAAGATCGGAATGATCGAATTGGGGGAACACGAACAGCAGTTGACGGCGATGAATCAGTGCTACTATTGGAGGTGAGAGGCGGTCGGTACGAAACGGGAGGGCGATGGGAGGCAGATGCTCGCCTCTCATCTGAGTTGGTTCTGGACAGCGTCTTGGGCAAAATTAATTCGCGTTGGCCAGGCGGCGATTGCTGAGGTGAATTGTCACTTGAGGAGGGCCAAGTGGATTGACCTTCTTGGGCGGCTTCGATGGCTTGGAGGCGCTCAGAGTTCAAAGAAGGTGGTGGGCCAGTGGAAGAGGTGCCAGCAGTCGATCTTCGCGACACCAGTGGTCGCCGAGTCCGAGACTTGGAGGTTGGAGGAGCAGGATGCGGGGAGATCGCGTCAGGTGCATGTGCTTCAAAAGATGCGGGACGCTTAACCCCAGGCGAGAGTTGGATCACCGATGACGATGGATGAACCGAGGACGTCTTGGAATTCGTTTGTGAGAGCAGCGTTGTGTCGGATTCGTAGGATGACTTGGATTCGTTGGGCTTCGAGAATGAAGATGCCGTGTTCGTTGATGGGTCTGTTGGCGCAGATGTAGATGCAGGCGCAGATGTTAATGCAGAGACAGCGTGTTTTTCGTCGCAGTGATACGTTGTCGGGTGAGAAGTGTGAGAATGGGTCGTCGCGAGAGTTGCTGGTGCTGTGCCAGGGTCGGGCGCTGTCAATGGTCCACTAACAGTAGCGCTGGGGGGCGGCACTGGGCCTGGGTCTGCTGATACAGGTGATACTGTGGTCGGGGCGACTGAGACAGTCGGAGTAGTAGTGCTGGGGTCTGAATTGGGTGAGACAATCGGCGGCACAATTGAAGACTGCAGAGGAAGCGCCGCTGATGCGCTATTCAAAGTATTGGCGAGTGGTGAGGTTGGTGTTGAGGCTGATGCCGTTGCCGTTGCCGTTGCCGACACCAATGTAGTAGGTTTGTGGTCAAGGTAATCGCTGGTGCGGCCGTCCTTGTTATTGTTTCTCGAATCGAGATTTTGGTTTCTGTTATGGTTGTACTGGTTGCTGCTGCTAAGGGACAGGGGGTCACCCTTATGAGCTAGGGGCACGCTTCCACAGCTGCTGCTTCGCCGGTCAGTGAAGCGGAAAGCGGGCAACTTGGAAGAACTGTGGCTTTGCCGGTGCGAGTCTGCGTGGGCAATGACAGTACATGAGGAAGCGTTGGATTGGAGATCAGCTGTGGCCATAGGGAAAGGCATATTCCCAGACGCAGGCTCCTGATGCTGATGCTGACTGTCAGGGCCAGGCTGGCCCGCACTGGTGAAACCGCCTTTTACAGTCATGGTCTCGGCCGCCGGAGCATTAGGGCATCCCAGCAAGTGCTTGCAGACAGATACGACGTCAATGGACTGCGAAAAGTCTCGCAGGTTCGCCGCGGGAGAATTTCGTTGAGGAGGACTGGTTTCGCACAGAATATCCTGATGAGTTGAGAAGGCTTTTCAACTGAGAAAATGTCCCAAGTCGTCACGTATTAGTTATTACAATGATTGCATGCGGCAGTGGTCGTCTCAGTTTTGGGTCGTCTCCTAGAAAAGAACAATGGGCTAAGACACTCGAATGCCTATGACT